CTGCGAGATATATTTACATAATATCATATATTTGGATTTAGAACTTATTTGTTCATACTTATTTAATTTATACGTTTCTAGCTACCTCATACTTATTTAATTTATACGTTTGTAGCTACCCTTTTCCTCGCATTACCTCTGCACTGTTATGTTTCTACCAGTATATTTTTATAACCGCTTTATGTATTTTAAATGTAGTACTAAATAAGAAATCGGAACTCCCGAAATATTAGAAGTAGAAAAAGGCAGTTACAAATATACAAATGGAACAAATGTGTAAATTGAATATGTAAATACATAGTTTGAAATACATGAATTCAAATTACGATTTGAAACTAAGAAATATAAATTGAAAAGTATACACTTTTCCTATCACTTTTATTTTTTACTAGAGACCGCACGGAATTTTGCCCATCATTTTGATTTGTAGTTGCAGAAAATGTTAAAACATAAAAAATAAAACATTCGCATGAAATTTTCACGTTCTTGATTTATGGTCTTGGCATACGTGAAACGTGAATATTTGCAAATCTAAAATTCGCTTCATTAACATTAATCTTATCTTTCTGCAAACATAAATCAGCACAGTTGATAACGGCGCAGCATATCGAAACCGTCCTGTTAGACGGTTAAAAAGTGTAACACGGCCACCGCTTTCTGTATTGTCGCTTTATGAAACACTAAAATATCATCACTGCTACCTTAGAAAATTTCTCATTTATGTTCAATTTCCTTAATAAATCGGAGTTTTTGGGATGAGATTTGGAAGATAAATTTTTGAAAATATATGAATACGAGAGTATTTTTTTAATATTTTACGAAAAATATTTTCTCTAAACTCTGTGAAAATTAATTAATTAATTAAAAAAGAAGAAGAAAACTATGCAAACTTTCAGCATTGGAAGAAAAATGACAATTTACTTTTTCTGTTTTGAAAAAGCATTTTCAAGAAATTCTTATCACATACAAAATGGTCTAAAACAAAAAAAAATATCTAAAACAAAAAAATAAACAATGAAAACAAATTTTTATCCACTAAAAAATTTTTTTTTCCATTTTGTTTTTAACTTTTTTTAATTCTATTTTTTTAACTTTGTTTTTTTAATTTTGATTTTATTTACTGAGCATAATTTATTTTTTATAATTTTATTTACTGAACATTTGCTTTAATTTTGTTTACTGAAATTTTAATTTTTCAGTAAATAAAAATTTTATTCACTGAATTAATTTTATTTACTGAACATAAAACAATAAGTAAAATATCGCGATCAATTCATATGTGAAAGACTGAAAAATTTTCGATCATTTAATTTCCTAACTTATTTACTAAACAAATAAACAAATTAATGTTTTATAAAATTATTATAACAATAAGCCATTGAAATTACTATGTCAATAAGTCATCGTATTGTATTGTTTGTTAAATGCATGAATAAACAAATATGGTAGTTGTTGTTGTTTTTTTCTTTTTTTTTTTTTTAGTAAAATGTGAGCAAATAAATTCAGTGTTTTATTAACCGGATTGATCAATCCGGTTAACAAATGATAGTATGAAGTAATTATATGTTGCGCAAATTTTGATGTAAAGAACCGAATCGAATGGTAATAAAATCAAACTGAACCGAAATAAACGAAAAAGAAAACCGAATATATTAATGCTGTAATCAATCGGTAAAAGGCGTATAAATTGTCAGCTTATTTGATGATAGATTTATATGTTTTCTGAACGGATCATTTCCGGTTTATCCTCTTTTCCTTTTCCTTTTTCATCCGTTCTTACTCTTTTCCGGTATTTTTGAAGTAGAAAAAAACATGACAACTTAACCACTTAACTCTTTATATTTCCATATATCAATAGTAATTTCAAATCAATGATCGACAAGAATTAAAATATATTCCACGAGAATGACAATATGATAAGTTAAAAATGGGTAATGATTAGTTTGTACTAATATTTGATCAACTAATACGAATATTGATTAAGGATATTAATTTAAAGTTTTTTTTTCTTTTTTTTGCCAATTAACACAATTTATTGTTCCTGAACATTTTAATCCTTGCTAGAAATAAAAAAAAAAAGTTGCAGTGGTCAATGGTCAAGAAAAGATTAGAAACCATTTGGTTTAAATTGAAATTAAACAATAAGTTATTAAATGATATTTACTTACATTCCATTTAATAGTGGTATAGTGAAAATAGATTAAAATAGATTGAAATAACATGACAGGATAATCCGAATCTTAATTAATTAATAGCAATTAGAAAAAACTAGGCGATTTTTTTTTTTTTTTTTTTTTTTTTTTTTTTAAATCTTGTCATCATCTAAGCTTGGCTTATTTTGATTCGATTCGAAAAGTATAAATGAATAGATAATAATATTTTGAGGATTGTTGAAAAAAAAAAGAAAGGAAAAAGTTGAAATTTTTGAAATTATTTGATGAAAATTTCCAAAAATTTTCATGCTAATTTATAATTATTTTGAAAAGAAATTCTTTCATTTTTTCAAATCCTTTTCAAAAATTTTGTTTTTTTTCAAAAAATAAAAAATTTTTTTTTGTTTGCAAAATTTACCTTTAAAATTACTTTTAAATTTAATTTAATTAATGGATAAAATTAATTGTAGAGGATGTAAATGTTTTTATAGAAAAATTTACGAATAATAAATGTGACACAGATCTGATCAATGAACTTATTAATTAACAATTTAAAAATAAGATCAAAAATTATTTAACATAAATTTTTTTTCTAAAATGGAATGATTATGTGATAACTTTATAAATTATACAGGAAGGATTTATAAATAATGGTACAAATATTTGCATCAAATAAGAGATAGCAAAAAAAAAAAGTGAAGTCAATACAATTAATAAGTAATTAATTAATTAACAACAAAATGTTATCTATCACAAAGGAAAACTTCATAAATCAAACTTTTAAAAGCAAAAAAAAAAGATTGAAAACTTTTAATTGAAGAAGAAATTTCATCAAATTTTATGTAAAGAAAAAAGTCTTAATTAACAATTATTTTACAACGTTTGCCACTACTAGAATTTAAGGAGAAATGAAATGTGAATATTTTCTAGTAAAGATTATTTCATTATTTAATTTAAATTAATTACGGAAATGCCATCTTTTTTTTTTTAAGAAAAAATGTCATTTCCAAATGACAAAATGACAAAATTGTCTTTAATGAATCATTTATTATCATACAAATAGAAAACTGTTAATGCTTGTATTATAGGATTGAAATTGAAATTAATAAGTTATTTAGGTCAAAGGGGAAAAAAGAAAATAAAATGCAAAACAAAAAAAAAAATCGCTACGATTTTTCCTTGATAAAAATTGGCCAAAAATTTATTTTAAAATAAATTTAATAAATTTTTACACTTAGACAAATGAAATTCTCTCTTAAATTATTAACTTATTTAATGAAATATTCGAGAGATTACTTTTCGAATTATCATATCAATAACTTATCATTGCTTGATTTTTTTTTTTTGATAAATTTTTTTTAATTAATTTTTTAATTTAATTTGTTATTGTTTTGCAAGGATTTTTATACGATTTATCATCTATTATTTCTGCTCAATACATTTTTTGAAAAATTAATTTTTATAAGGAATCAAATTAATCAATTAATATTATTCGTCTTTTGCACTTCATGATTTCATTGAAAATATAGGAAGAATGATGCGATAAATTTGTTGACCCCATTAGCTTGACCTTTGACCAATTGACAATATTGTGAATGTTACGCATCATTTTCAATGCTACCGATCGGATAGCGAAAAGTCTTTAGTTTACTTGTCAGATAATCCACAACATGCAATCGACCATTCTCATAAAGGATTTCCGACCAGATTGCTGATATTCCATCGGTCAATACCGCCGCTAGATTATGCCGTAGTTTACCATCCTGAAAATGAGTAAGCAATTAAATTGGTTATGTTAGTTAATTATCCGTATAAATGGGAGCAATTAATTAGCTTTAGGGATAAATAAAATTTTTAATTATATATGCAAATAATTAAAATCAAAGCATTTCAAATTTCATAAAATTAATTTTAAAATTTGAATTAATGTTTTTCCTTATGCTAATATTATACTTCAACAAAATGAAGTATCATTAAAATTTTAATAACCTGAAAAACTCGAAGAAGCGGTTGACCTCTAACAACAGCAATTATTCGTCCTTCATTGTCAGTTGTTATACCAAGCGAGAATGTTCCATTATTAGCACCGATAATTCTTGTAATTTCACCATCCTATTTGAAAGAAAAAATAAAATGAAAGAGTATTGCTTCAATTTGAAACGAATTGAAAATGTGTGATAATCCAGGAATGGAATTGAAAGAATTGAAATTGTGAGATAGTTCGAAATGGAATTGAAGGAATTGAAACTGTGAGATAGTTCGGGATGAAATTGAAAGAATTGAAATTATGAGATAAATCTTGAAACGGAATTGGAAGAATTGAAATTGTGAGATAACTCTTGAAATGGAATTGGAAGAATTGAAATTGTGAGATAGTTCGGAAATGGAATTGAAGGAATTGAAACTGTGAGACAGTTCGGGAATGAAATTGAAAGAATTGAAATTATGAGATAATCCTTGAAATGGAATTAAATGAATTGTAAGGGATAATTCAGGAATGGAATTAAGAAATTAAAATTGTGTAATGATTTGGGAATGGAATTAAAAAATTAAAATTGTGGGAAAATTCGAGAATGAAATTGAAAAAATTGAAACTGCAAGATAATTCGGGAATGAAACTAAAACAATTAAAATTGTGTGATAAAAAAAATTAAAATTGTGGAAAAATTCGAGAATGAAATTGAAAGAATTGAAATTGCAAGATAATTCGGGAATGGAACTAAAACAATTAAAATTGTATGATAATTCAAGAATGAAATTGAAAAAAAAAATTAAAAATGCGAGATAATTCAGGAATGGAAATAAAACATCATTAGTAATGCTATAAATTACAACAATAAGAAGTGTGGAATTTTTTAAATTCTTAGAAAATTTTAATTTTAAAAATTCAAACAAAATTAAAATGATCACTTTCAAAATCTCGTCATTGATTTTTTTTCCTTTTCTTTTTTTTTCAATTAAAAATATTAAAATATCGGATTAAACTAAATTCATTTAAAATTCAAATTAAGCAATTTCAAAAAATTTGAATAAACTAACTTCTGAAAAGTTGCAAAAATAGCATTTTGGCAGCTTATATAATAATATTTTTGATGCAAAAATAGCAAAATTACATGTTTCCTTAGC